AAAGCATTCATTCCTACTTGACTCCAGGAGGTTACTTCCTTGTAAGTCCAAAAAGGAAGTACGAGATGAAAGATTTAACAAGATCATTGCATGGTCAGAACCACCTAAGGGAGAAAAAAGAGAAACTGAACACAAGCTAGGATCAGAGGCGTGACAGGAATTAATGAGTGAAGGTATATGATTAAGATAGTCAGGAAAACGAGACACTATATGAATAAGAGATTGAGAAATACAGAAGTTCTGAGTTTTAGTGCCAGCAGGGTCAGTGGCCTTAGAGCCAAGCCATTCAGTGTGATGAGCATTAAGGTCACTAATGACAACAATATTGGCAGAGGGGTAAAGAGAGAGAGCAAGGTCAATTTGATCAGAAGTTACATCTAAAAGAGTGCAGTCTAGGGAAGAAGGAGAACGATAAAGAACATAGAGAAAGGTGATAGAGTGAAGAGGTGCTAAGCAAAAGCACATAAAAGAATGGTCAAAAGATTAGAACCTGATTTTGCAACAAATAAGTGAACTGATGCGTATGTATACCCCCATGCCAAGCATGTGACTATTGGAGTCTTGACTTTTCCTATCCAATTCTTGAGAAAGGGTGGACTTTTTCTCAAGAATTGGATAGGGAAAAAGTCTTTGCTCTGAAAATCAGTCAAATCTTATAATGTCAAAACTCATAGTTTTGGTTGATTTCTAATCCTTTTTGTTTCTCCATTTTTAAATCTTTTTTTATGGATGAGTGCAATTAGAAAGGTTAAAATATTTTAAATTTTAATAAGTTATGTCTATTCAATCTATTTATTTTCTAAAAAATCTATTTAGCCATTCTCTGTACTTAAATATAAATGTGCAGCTGGTGTGATGGTAACTGCATCACATAATCCTAAACAAGATAATGGTTATAAGGTAAGATTATTCTTTAGATCTTTGATGATTGTTATTATTTTTCTGTAAAATTATCATTTTTACAATTTATCACTATATTTTGAACAACAAGTTTCAAAAAACTGAACTTAAAATGATGACAATAATAGTTAATTTTTCAAATATAAAAAAAAGTTTTTAATTTTAATTTTAAGTATTAATTGAATAATGGTAATCCTTGGTTCACATTTATTTATATTAGTTTCAAGATAGTTTAAACACATTGAGCTTTAACTTGATCTATCTAGGTAAAAGTAAAACTGAATCAATTGCTTTTAGGTCATTGTCATTGGTAAATCAGAGACTCGTGCTTCTAATTTCTTTTGTGTTTTACAACTTGTTTTATTTCTTTCTTTAATATTTAAAACTAACTTTAAAACATACTTAATAATGTTGTTACCTAACAAAAAATAAAAAGATAAATTAAAATAAAAATTACAAAATAACTTGCAATTATTTTTTTCTGCAAATTTTAAGATAAAAATGAGTTAACTTGAATATTTTTAAAAAATGGTAATAAAAATATTTTTAAGCATTAATAATATAAGATATTATAATTATCAAATCTTTTGTGATACAGTGCTATTGGATTTATTAAAAAAAATCTTAAATTAAACCTAATTTCACTTTTTTAAACAATAGATTTTGAGGAAGTACAAAAATATATTGGTAATCAAAAAAATTTTATTTTAATGGTTAAATTTTAATATAATGGTTAAATTTTTACTTTAATGGTTTAATTTTTATTTTAATGGTTAAATTTTTAGTATAATTGTTAAATCTCTTGTATGGTTCAGGTCACCTCGCCTAAAGACAAAGCTGATTTGTTTGCTAAATCAATACCATCTCTCGATTCCACTAGTTGCTTTCTACTTAATATAGCTGACAAACAGGTTAATCTATTGCCTGCTTAGACTCTTCTACAGCTTGTACTCCGGACAACATACCTTTTATAGTCTTGTAGAAGTGTTCTCCAGAGCTGTTGTCTATACTTTCAAAACTGTTTAACAAGTGCTTATCAGAGTCTTGTTTTCAAGCCTGCTGGAAAGCAGCATCTGTTATCCCATATCCTGTTTCAAAAATTCTGGAGAGTGAACTGGCTCCTCTAACTACCGTCCCATTAGTCTTCTTACTATCATAAGCAAGGTTTTTGAGTCTTTAATTAACAAACACTTAATCTTTCATCTTGAATCTAATAACTTACTTTCTGATCATTTTTATGGATTTCAATCTTCTGGCTCTACAGCTGTTCTGTTAATGGTAATAACCTATTAGTTTTATTGTGCATTAGACAGATGTGGAGAGGCTAAGGCTATCACTCTCAATGTTTCTAAAGCTTTTAATAAAGTTAGGCATTCTAGTTTTCTCCATAATTACTCTTCTTATAGTGTATCAGGTGAAATCTTTAAGATTATTGAATCCTTCTTTACCAATCATAGTATAAAAGTTGTCCTCAATGGATAGCACTCTTTTTAATATCTTGTAACTTTAAGAGTATTTCAAGGTTCTATCCTTGGTCCTATACTCTTTTTAATTTACATTAATGATCTCTTAGAAATTCTCACATCTAAGTTGGCATTGTTCGCTAATGATACTACCATTTATTCTTGTCTTGATAAGAAGCCAACACTCTCTGATTGCTTGGAAGGGGCAGTTGAGATTGAAAATTATTTTGCTTCTGCTACAGCATGGGGCTCTCAGTGGCTAGTAAACTTTAACTCAGATAAAAAAAATTTTCAGCTAATCATTATTTCAATAATCTAAATCTTCCTATATTTATGAATGGTTATGTACTTGATGCGTCATCTACCCTTCATCTTCTAAGATAAACTCTTACTTTTGACCTTTCTTGGAAACCATATATCAAATCCATTGCAAAATTAGCATCTGTTAAAGTTGCATCTCTTTATTGTGCTAGCGACTTTCTTTTTCAGGATTCTTGCTCTATAAATTTCATCTTTTCTATTCCAGTAACTTCCAACTCTAATAGTGGTTGCTTGCAGTCTTGTTGGAAGTGAAGATTTAAAAAAAAAATTTTTTTAGTATAATGGTTAAATTTATAAAAAATTAGATTACTTCATCTTTCACTAATCTAAAAATAAATCAAAATGTAGTTTTGATACTAATATGTTTAGAAAAGAATTAGATGAAACGTTAACTTTTTATTTTACAAAATAAAGTTGTAATAAATAAAATGTGTCATTTTTATCAATAATTAATACAATAACAATTATGTATTATTTTTTTAAATTATTTTGATTTTTTCATATAACTATTTTTATATTATTTTCTCCATTCTATCTATTTCCAATTATTTACAATTTGATTTGTATCTTTGTATTTGTATTGTAACGCCTTATTAATAAACTTTTAAAATTAGCATATTTTTTTTAGGTTTATTTTTCCAACGGATGCCAGGTTTGTTACTTTTTGCCATTGCTTTAAATATTGTGTATGATGTTTTTATTATTTACTTTTATTTACTATTTCTATTATTTTAAATTTAGTTTTTCACATACAATTGTTGGTTATTTTCTAAATGTAAAAATTATTTGTAAAAAGTTATTTTTACGTTGCATAAAAATATGATAATAAAATTTGTATTAGCAACATTTATCTTGTTGACTTTCTTTCCAATTTTTGTAGCAAAAGTCAGATTACATTTAGGGGTGTTCAAGTAATGGAAAAAAATTACTTAAGTATTTTTAAGTAATTTTAAGTAACTTTTTTCTAATTTACTTAAGTAACTTAATTAATTTTTGTTGTTTTCCAAACAATCAAAAAATTACATCAAATATTACATTTTTGTGTGATATAATACTATATAGATATAACAAATCATAACTTAACTAAACTTTCAGAATAGAATGCTGAAAACTTAAAATTTCTATCAATTTATCACTCAAAGATGTTCTCAAGTTTGTTTTAAAAAAAAAGGCTAGAGCCATCAAGCATCTTTCTGTAACAATTAATGATGCTGATAAAAACCTTTAAGTACAGTGCAATTTTTGAAACATTTTTGGGCAGTCATTTGATCCGTCAAACTCAGCCATTTATTTTTTGATGTAATCAAAAACATTTAGTTAAGCCTTGTTTTTTACTAAATTGGAATTTTGAGCAAGTAATAGTGAAGTTCTTCAGTCTTATTCTTTTTTGTAAAGATTCTTTAGTTTCAACATTGGAGGTTTTACATTCGTTGTTGCCTGGGATCTTTAAGATCATAAGAAAGACGTAAAAAAGACGTAATCTCCTGCTATAATTTCTTATAATTTGTAAAAATTTTTTTTGAATAGTCTAAACTCTAATTTTGTGGAAAATATGGTTTAATGAAAACAAAGAATAATTAAAATTTAAACTAAAATTTGTAATACTTTAATTTTAGGGTTCAAAATTGAAAATTTTATGCAAATTTTTATAAAATATCAATTTTATGTTGATTCAATTCGGAAAAAAAAGGTACCTGATTATACTTAAGTAATAAAAATTTACTTAAGTATTTAATTTGTTTAAACACTTAAGTACTTAAGTTACTTAAAACCTAATTACATTGTTTCTGGACCTTTCATTAAGACACTTTCAGCCTGCTGGAGTTCGGCTATCATGGCTCTTTTGATATCTATACTTTGATTGATTGATGATATCTTCTCTGTGCATAGATAAGGATTGTCTGTGTAAATGTTATTGTATTCATATAATAATTGTATTATAATTTGTATTCATGCTATAATTGAATGATCATGACAACATCAGTTGTCATGAACATTTGCTCATTAAATCTGCAGCTTTCATATGCTTTCGTCTTATTCACCTTCAACAGCTGATGTTTATCATACAATTTCTTCAGTTTTCTTTGACTTGAATTTTTCTTTTGACTTTGAATTTAAAAATTGGTCATTTTTATTCAACATAAAAGTAAAATTTAAAAAATAATTTTTCAAATTTAAAAAAACAAGAAAAAATTTTAAGTAACAAATTTTTTTAAGTTAAAAAAATTTGTTATAATTGTTTTAACTATTATTCATATTCATATTAATTACAAGTATTGTTTATTTTGTTTGTTTAGTTTATGTTGTTGATTATTTTGTATTTTCAATACATTTTTTTTATACTTATCAAACATATATATTTTTTTATATTTATTTTTAATACATTTATAGATAATTCCTCCACATGATGAGCGAATTTCTGAGAGCATATTTGCTAACTTAACTCCTTTAGATAGTTCATGGGATGAAATTTTTTACAAGACTAGTGATTTGTGTCTTGATCCACTCTCTGAAGTGCATAAAGCATACATGTCTGCAATTCAGATTCATTGCCACAACAGGTTAATTTTATCACAATTTTTTTTACATAGTATTTAACAATGTTTATTCTCTTTGTACACAGCCTCTTTATCCTCTTTGTACACAGCCTCATAAAATTTAAATAAATTTATCTTTAAAAATTTTTTTTTATCTTCTTATGATGATTAATATAAGTTGTCTTTTTAATATATTTTCCATCATCATTTCATAATCACATCACATTTGCCACGGATTGGTCACAATTAAATCCTGCAGTTTGAAAATAAATTAAAAACTCCATGTCGTGTTTTGAAAATAAATGTTTTTTAGAAGTAGAAAAATGTAGGATTATACTTTACTTAGCATATATTCGAACACAATGTTTGCTAGGTCCTTATAAACTAAAAATAAACTACACATTTTCAACTTTTTTTTGAAAACTTACTGTGTACTATATATATATATATATATATATATATATATATATATATATATATATATATATATATATATATATATATATATATATATATATATATATATATATATATATATATATATATATATATATATATATATATATATGTATGTATATATGTATATATATGTATGTATATATGTATATATATACATATATATACATACATATATATGTGTGTATATATATATATATATACACATATATAGATATATTTATATATGTATATACATACATCCTTATAGTGTAGTCAAAAGACTACCCTCTGCTACGTAAAACTTTGAGCAGCCGTGGCGCAGTGGTAGCGCACTTGCCTCAGAAACGTAAGATCTGTGGTTCAAACCCCACCTCTGGGCAAGTTTTGTGAAATCGGTTGGGAAGGAGGCGTGAACTTCCTATTAAATGCTCTTCTGCGGTGCTCTGTGATAAGACCGTAAGGACTTCTTGGGGCACCTTAATCAACTTGAAAAAAAAAAGAAAAAAAAAAGAGACTTTTACGGTAAAAAAAAGTCTGTTTCAACTACAATTTTTTTACCTCGTCTCTTAAGCTGCATTTTATTGTTGTCGAAATACCAAAGCAATTAAATTAATGCGGAAGTGCATTAAATTTTATTGTTTTTTAAAAAAACTGCAATATTAATGACTAGAAAGCGTTTTATAATTAATGGTGTTTTTGTTGTTGTTTTGTTAAAATATATTTTTAAAATATGTGCGGAGTGTTGCTACATCAACTATCTTATAACCTGCTGCTACAAGAAAGTGTTGCTACATCGACCATCTTATAGCCTGACTCGCAACGGAGTGCTGCTGCATCGACTGACAAATAGCCTGACTGGCAAGGGAGTGCTGCTACATCGACTGAGGATTTGGTTTGGGCAGGCAGTCTATCATTTGAGGAAAAAAAAATTATTCAAGTTTTTAAACTTTTTCTGGTCTGGTTTATTAACGCGCTCTTTAAAACTACAGTTTATGAGAAAAACTTTCTGACTACTATGCAAGACTAGATATATATATATATATATATATATATATATATATATATATATATATATATATATATATATATATATATATATATATATATATATATATATATATATATATATATATATATATATATATATATATGTATACATATATATACATTTATATATATATATATATATATATATATATATATATATATATATATATATATGTATATATATATATATATATATATATATATATATATATATATATATATATATATATGTATATAAATATATATATATATATGTATATATATATATATATATGTATATACATATATATTTATATATATTTAATACAAGTGGATTTAATACAAGTGTGTAAATTACTTAACAGATTTGAGAAAATTGATTTAATTAATGAACCGAAGCTTAAAATTGATTCAATTACTCGAGGTCACAATCTTAAATATGAAAGAGAAATTGTGAACTATTTACCTCTGCATCATTTTTTATTAAATTGTACGACCAATTTATGGAACGCTTTACCGGAAACTGTTGTTACTTCAAAAACTGTCAATCAATTTAAGAATAGATTAGATGAGTATAACGCCAAATCAAAAAAGTTTTAACTAAACATTTTCAATATATATTTGGATTAATGCTGTCAAAGTGTGATAAACCATACTTGCTGGATTCGTCCAGTTACAGTTTAACTACTAACTAACTAACTAACTACTATATATATATATGTATATACATATACATTTATATATATATATATATATTTCTTTTTTCTACAAATACTATCATGGTCACTGTTCAAAGGAGTTACCATATCAAGTTCCATCAACTAAAACTTATTCTCACTTGACTTGTCATTCATCTAAGTCTCATTCTTTTACTGTATCTGTCCCTGCATGCTCTAAAAAATTTTATTCGTTCCCTGCACTCTAACTCTTAGGAACTCTCTCCCATCTTCATGTTTTCCTGACTCACACAACTATTAACTTTTTAAGTCTTCTGTCAACTGTTACCTTGCTCTTAACACTGTTCTTTTTTTCTAGTAACTCCCAACTTAATAGTGCTTGCTTGCAACCTTGTTGGAAGTAAATCAGAATTAAATATATATATATATATATATATATATATATATACATATATATACATATATATATATATATATATATATATATATATATATATATATATATATATATATATATATATATATATATATATATATATATATATATATATATATATATATATATATATATATGTATATATATATCTATAAATATGTTTATATATATATGTGTGTGTGTGTGTGTGTGTATATATATAAAAGAAAAAGGAAATTAAACTAGTTATTTTAATGTCTAATAGAGAATTTAAACAAATTGTTTTAATCTTGTAGGGATATTAATAAGAATAGCAGTCTAAACATCACGTACACAGCTATGCACGGTGTTGGTGAAAAATATGAAATGGATGCTTTTAAAGCATTTTCCTTGAAACCATTTTATACTACTGAGGCTCAGGTAAGGTTTTATGTTTTTACAAATACAATAAGAAATTATTTATAAAAGTCTTTTTTAGATGCTATTAATCTTATATTAAGAATATCAGTTTATTTTTTTATAAAAACTTTAAAAGTTAATTAAATATAGAAATGATTTATGTAGCTTAATAAATGGATGCGATGTAGTATATTATAAATGAGCACCCTTCTTAAGTATACAGCTTTTTTTTTTTTACAAAAGTTTAAATGAGGGTGTAATGTTGATCAAGTAGGTTTAGTTTTTTCTTAATAAATGGGGCAAAAACCAGTTTTAAGTGAGATCAAATGGCAAATTATTAGTATGTCTAAGTCAAAAATTCACTGCAAAGTTCAAATATGCAAAATACTTGAGGTTTCTGAATCTTGTGTACAAAAAACAGTCAAAACCTGGGAGCTTACCAAGGACTTCGTTGACATACCACGTTCCAGGAAACCATCATAGCTTAGTTACCAGGACAAAAGTACCATATTCAGAATCTGCAGAGAGAATCCTAGGGACAGCTACAAAAAGCTAGCACAAATCTTCAACGAGTCGAAAAATAATCATAATGTAAGCAGAGAGCTTGTTACGCGAACATTGCTGCAAAAAGGTATTGGAATGTACATTGCAGCATGAAAACCTATTTTATCAATCATGGACCAACGTAAACGGCTATGTTAAAAAAAAGGTTGAACTGGACTGTTGAAGACTGGCTAAAAGTCATTTGGAGTGATGAAGCTTATTTTCAAGTTGTAAATCGCAAGGGAAGAATATATGTCAAAAGATTTGCAACGGAGAAATATTCAGAACGGTTTGTGCAACCACATCAACAAGGCAGTGGAGGTTCGATTGGTATTTAGGGATGTTTTTCTCACAAAGGTATTGGTATGTGTGAGCTGTACGAAGGCTGAATAAATCAGTACACCTCAAAAACACATTGGAAACATGCTTAATTCCATCAATCAGAGAGTTGTATGGTAGAAGCAAGCAATCCATCTTTGAACAAGAGGGGGCTCCAGCTCATACAGCTAAATCAATCAAAGAATATTTTTTGCAGAAAAAGATTAATGTGATCCCTTGGTGCCCTAGATCACCAGATCTCAACCCAATTGAAAATATTTGGTCTTGGATTGACAATCAACTTACTTATCACCAAATACAATCAACTGAGCACTTAAAGCAACTTTTGAATGAGTACTGGTTGAAAATACCTCGAAAGACATGCATGAAATTAAATTGAATCAATGCAGAAACAAGTTTATCTTTGCTATAAAAACAAAGGCAGACATTTTAAATACTAATTTTGCTTTTTTTTTTTTTTCATTTTTTGTTTGTTTGTAAAAATTTGTTTAAACTTTTGTGCTACTCATTTTTCACATGTGTTTTTTTATACTTAACTTTTTTTAAATTTATATAAATAATTTCATAAACAAGTTTATTACATTTATTGTATTGTATGAGATAACATTTATACTCATTCATAAGTTTTATGAATGAGTATAAATGTTTACTCAATGTATGTAAATATTATTAAACATTTTGTATTAATAAGGAAGTAATCATCCCGAAGAATCTACATTTATTGAAACAATTAGCAAGATGTATGTTGATCTTGAGACAATATGATATTGAGCATTAGTTCTATTATTATAAGATTACCATAACAAGTATCATCACTTCTGTAGCTTAAACAAGAAGTCCCAGCGCCTGAATAAAATTAAAAGCTTTGACTTTAATTAATTTTTACTTATTGTTTCACATAAGTGTTAAGACTTATTGACATGTCCGTGAAAAAAGGTGAAGAAAATTAAAGAATGTTCCTTGCTGATCATTCCTAGGAGACAAAACCTTGCAGATCAAAGAACAGAAAAAAAATTGGCAATGCTGAATTAAAACAACAAAGAAGTAGAAAAAAAGTAAAAAAAAAAACTTGTTGATGAATTTAGATTTTGTAAAAAAAATAATCAAAAAAAATAAAAACTTAGAAAATTCAGATAGTAGCTTGGAAAATGATTGCCATGATGATCCAGATGAGGCTATCACTGAAGTAGATAGTAGTGAAATTGACTTCATGATAGACTTGCCTAAGTCATTAAAATTGACTAATAGTACAAATTTTTTAGAGAAAAACTGAAAAAAGTTAAAAAAAAATTTTTTTTAAATAATTTACGCCAAAACAATATTCATTAAAACAGATATTTGAATACAAATACTATTGATTTCAGTTCATTGATAAAAATCACATATGTAGGCACCAATGTGAACACTGGTAATATTGGTGGTGTTATTTGACATTAATGTCTCTTTTTCGTATTTTGCAAAGAACTCTCTCTCTCTCTCTCTCTCTCTCTCTCTCTCTCTCTCTCTATATATATATATATATATATATATATATATATATATATATATATATATATATATATATATATATATATATATATATATATATATATATGGGCAATTTTGCGAGAAAGAGGGAAAAAAAAAAAAGTTAGAAAGACACATACTAACCTCAATAAACTCTTTTTTTAACTATTTAAAAATACTTTTAAGCAAAAAAGTTATTTAAAAAGTTATTTTATCATACCATAGCATGGCTTTGAAGTTGTAAGGGTTATATAAACGTTTTTTGACGTTTTTATATAGTCCTATTGTGAAGCATTAAAAAAGGTTTCAATGCTGCGTTTGTAAGTAACTATTACTTCTAAGTTTGACTTAAAGACATAAATAAACATTATGTAAATCATTTTTTTATAAAAACGCACTCCAACTATGTATAGAATAAGAATATATTTATCAAATTAATGCGTTACAACCGTCACGAAAAAAAGTCAAAAAGTTTTTTCTAGGCTTCGTATTAGACTTTATAAAACTAAAAATATAGTAAAAGTAAATATGCTGAAAAAAGTTTTATCATCGTTTCAATTTTTTTTTAAAAGAACTTCAGATGATTGTATTAAGATGTAAACAAAGTATGTTACGACCATCACGATATGCTTGTTTTTCCATAACGGCTTCTTGACTTTTGAATAAAAAGTTTAAGCGAGAACAATTTTATTATTGAAACCAAGTTACAAATCAATTTCGTTTGATTTTCTGTTTGTTTACTCAATATATTGATAAGCTTGTTAAAGTTTTTCCTATTTCTTTTTTAAAATATAAATCACTTATTTTAAATAATTGATGTAAATAAATTAATATTTGTAAAGAAATAAAAACTTTTAACATGAAGAAAACTTTTTTTTAGTTTAAACGTTGTTTCTAGTTTGCATTGCAACTTTTTTGTTCATTAGATTTTGCGGTTTTTTTATTTATAAAATTCGCGGGTTTTTTTTTAACATAACAGAAGGAAAATCTCAAACAGAAGCTGTCGCATTTAACAACATTTTTAAAATGCCTAAATCAGATGCAGAAAGATCAAAAGCTTATAGAGCAAAAAACAGACAAGTGCTGTTGGAAAAAGAAAGAAAGAGAAGTTATCAAAGGAGACAGTTATTAACACCAAGAAAAGAAAACAAGCAAAAAAATCAAGCGAAAGTTCGTAACCGAAGGTTAAGAATGAAAAAAAAACTTGAATTTACTGCTAACACTAAATTTTGTGAACTAAGGCCAAGATACATTCTTACACGCAAAAACGCACCACTTGAATTATGTGGTTGTGTTTATCACAGTAATTTTACTTATTTGTGTGCTGCTTTGGCAAGTAAAATACATTTTCCATTGTATTGTAATAAATGGTTACAAAAATATGTATTGTGTAAGCCACCTACATCCCAATGTTGGATTATGAAATGTTCGTTATGTAGTGATTGTAAATTATTTAAAGTTTCTTTGCCAGAAAACGGAGACATGAATACATTCATCACCTATAGTTGGTGGATAAAAGATGATCATCGCTGTGTACTCAGTGAACATAAAAAAAACATAACAGATGTCTATAAACACTTTTGCGACTATTTACCAGAGTTTATTGAGCATCATCTCACTAAAAAGCACCAGTCTGAGCAATACCGTAGTCAAAAGGAAAATCTCATACCAGACCAAATTTTGATACACTTTGATTATTCACAAAACTATGTATGTGGTTATCAGGATGCTGTTCAAGCTGCTTATTGGTCGCAGTCTAGTATTACTTTGTTTATAGTTGTTATCTATCGTTACCAATTAGAGCCAAAATCAGTTGTAATAATATCCGATGATAATGATAAAACAAAGCGCTCCACTACTACTTACTTAAGTGAAATATTTTACCTCTATTGCATTGATTATATAAAAAAAGTTATATTATGGAGCGATGGCCCTTGCACTCAATTCAAAAATCGTTACATGGCCAAATTCATACAACATTGCTCTGTGAAATATCATTTTCAATCTATAGAGTGGAATTTTTTCCCTACCTCTCACGGTAAAGGAGCAGTTGATGGTGTAGGAGGATCATTGAAGCGATTTGTTTGGAACAGAGTAAAATCTCGTGAAGTTATAGTTTTAAACACTAAAGACTTCCTTTTAGCATCAAATGGGAGCAAAACTTATGTTAGACTAATCAACGCAGATGACATTAATCTAAGGTGGGCCATTATAGCTGATCAAATTGAAGAAGCGAAAGCCGTTAAAAATATTACCAAAATGCATTTTTGGCAAGTCAAAAATGGAAAGTTTTTGATTTCAAAGTTGTCAAATATTTTTCACGGGTTTTAACAATTTTAAAATTAATATTTTTTCTTTACTGAAAGAACTATTTTATAAGCTTATGTTGGGACCAGGGAGCATTAAGAGCATAAACCATTAAAAATTTAGTAAAGTAATAAAGTATAAATAAATATTTGATACAAAGCCAGGTTTTGGTTGCCTATTCCAAATTAAACGAACCCAGTATCAAAAAACCATAACTGAGAACTTTGATAATGTTATAAAATTCATACTTTTACATAGTTTTTATAAGTTTACATGGTTTTTATAATTATTCATCTTTTTTTTTTTTTTGATCGCGTCGTTTTATTTGTTGTTTTTTAAAATTAGATTTTTCGTTACGACCGTCACGGTTATGACCGTCACAACATGAAAAATACAGAAATGTTTGTAAAAGTTCAAGTAAAAACTATGAAACTCTGCATATAATAACATCAATATGTGCTAAATGCACACAGCAAATGATTTTTATTTTTACCATGTCGTTCGCTGCATTTAGTCTGGCAGAGTTGTTTTGTTTAGAAGCGATAAAAAGTAAGCGTTATGACCGTCATGCTTCGCCGAGTTAATATATATATATATATATATATAATCTACCAAAAAGATTGAGGTCGGCAATAATTTGCTGACCTCAATTTTTTAGAGGTTGGCAAAAAAAATTTGATATGAAGGTCTTACCGTAAAACATAGAAAAGAGGTCGGTTTTTTGTCGACCTCAAAGACTTTTAGGCCAGCAGTTAGATCAATATTGTCGAATGTCGACCCTAACTCCAAGGGCTGTATATATATGTGTGTGTGTGTGTGTGTGTGAGTATATATAGATATTACAATTGCAAGTTGCATTATCCAGACTTGGTCGGGAAGCGGGAGCGATCGCTCTCGAATACTGACCGCTGAAATTATATTTAGTTGCAAAAAACTGGCCAGGTTTTTTAGTCGTTTTGAGAACATTTAAGTTTATTTACGAAACAAAAAATTTTTGTTTTAAGGACATGCATGGAAACATAAAAAACTTAAATGTTCTCAAAACATCTTGGGGCGAAAAAATAAAAAGAATATTCGCAAACACTAAAAACCCACCAAATTAACAAACAAACTAATTCTATTAGTTCAAAAAATACCCTGACTAAGCGAAATAAAATTTTGGAGCATTTTCACATAAATCGTTTTAAGAATATATATAAATTGTTTACAAAAATAAATGTTTTAAATATATATTAATTAAATTGTCAAAATTTTAAAAGTTTATTATAAATTATAGATTTTATTTGTACATTCTTATTTTTTATTTAAAAAGTATGTATTCTTTATGTAAATGTAATTTTGTTGATCTGTCTTTTATCGTAATGTATCTTTTAAAGCAATTTTTATGATTTAAACAAAGACTTACAAAAATAATTGCGTTTTCAATAAAGTTATAATTGTTAAAGTTAATAAAACTAATCATGTAACACATATAAGAAGTTTCTGGTTACTTAGCACAAACAACGCATACAAAGTAACTCGCGGATGAACAAGCACCGCGCCTGAGGTCACGACAGAACACAAATATATATAGCAAATAATTAGATATAAAAAAAAGTTTCTAAATATTGGTTTACTAACTCTAATTATTTTCGCTTCATTTTCCATTTTTAAAAAATCATTACAAATTTTTCTGCTTTAATTACTAATTAAATTACGAACTAATTAAAAAGCCCACTCACTAAACATCATCAGCGATATTGTGAAGCAGTTTCGCTTCCTAATCATATTTTTAACCTTTTTAGTTGATTTCTATCTTGTTAATTTAATGTCTATAGTAATTCAATTATTTAATTATTTCATTTGTTTATCTTACTAAGAAGAATTGCTTCAAATATGTTAAACTTTTCAAACTACGCGAAACATAAAATAGGTATTAATAAAAATTAGCTTTTTTATTTATAAAATAATTTAGCTTAAATAAAACTAAAACTTGCAAACTTTGTTTCATAAAGAATATTTGTTTCCTTTTTAAACAATCGTAAGATGTTACTTTAGATAAAAAACATCGCTTAATTTTATAAATATTTGTTTGTAATTGTCTCTCATCAGTCCAATTAATCTTAAGCGCTTTTTTTTTTTGCTTGTTAAAATGTTCTCAAAACAACTAAAAAATCTGGCCAGCTTTTTGCAACTAAATATTATTTACGTGGTCAGCAATCGAGAGTTGTTAGCTCCCGCTTCCCGACCAAGCCTGATTATCTAGAAAAATATCTTGTCTTTAAAGTTTTAGTTAAAACGTGTAATTTTTAAAATCAGCCAATTAAATTGTTTTATTGATTGTTACTAAAATAAGAAACAATTTAGAAATGCCCAACTGTTTATTAAAGTACGTATTTGTAAAAGTTCCTGAAGTTTTTAATATTATTTAAATATCCATCCTATTTTTTCTAGATGCATTTCTAATTCAATTAAAGTTTGGGGTTACTTATTTAAATCATTTTAATTTATAATACCTTGATCAAGTGTTAAAACAGCAATAAATTATAATTGTAAGTTATAAATGCATTATAAAAGTAATAACACTATTATAGAGTTATTACTTTTGTAGTTGTAAGTTTATTTTTTTATTGTTTTTCTTTTTTTAATCTTTCACTAACTAATCTAATCTAATTTGCCCATAAAAACAAAGTACATGGTTTTGCAAACTAAAATTTTGAAGACCAGATATTGCAATTTGCAATGACTTTTTTTAACCCTTACACACACAATGCATAATATATACCTAAGGACTCAATTTTTTAATCTATTTTGTGTAGTTTAATTCTTAGAATATGCACTTTAAATTAAAAAAAAAAGAATAAAAATGTGTTTGTGTAAATGGTTTATAGATTGTTTTGATTTACTAATTTAAAATTATATACTTTAGGCAAAACCTGACCCTGAATTTCCAACTGTTAAATACCCAAACCCTGAAGAAGGAAAAGGAGCTCTGGTGGGTATTTTAAAATTATTTTCATTATTAGTATTATTAATAATATTATTTATAATAACTTCATTATTTTTGTTAAAAAAGATTTCTTCTCTTTTGTAGAAGTTGGCTATAGAAACAGCTGAAGCAAATAATAGTTCATTTATAATAGCAAATGATCCAGATGCAGACAGATTAGCAGTTGCAGAGAAACTAAAAAAGTTAAAATTTGCTTTTTTAAAGTTAAATTTATGATATTAATAATTTTTTATCTTATATTTTTTAACAATCAATAAATATATTGGAAATAAAAATGTTAACTCTGTTAACATTTTTATTTCCAATATATTTTATTATTTACATTTTTGTTACTATTATTTTTGTGACATAGTTTATTATTATTTTATATTGGTAACAATGACAGAACTGTATTATATTTGAATAGCACTGATAGAACTGTAGTATATTTGAATAACATGGATAGAACTGTAATATATTTGAATAACAGATAGAACTGTAATATGTTTGGATAACACTGATAGAACTGTAGCATATTTGTATAACACTGATAAAACTGTAATATATTCGAACACTGATAAAACTGTAATATAATCAAATAACACTGATAAAACTGTAATATTTTCCGATAGAAATAGTTGGTTTTTAATCTGTTTTTATAATGAGTGTTTTAACTAACCAGAAAATAAACTTTTAAAAATATTGTTGCTACATGGAAAAATAAGTTGGTTGTGGTGTTTCCAGAAATGTGTTGGAGTTTAAACTCCAGTACCTCTTGCTTACCAAGTGAACCGGATATCTGCTCCCGTTTGTTAAAATCTGTGATGCAGGTTTGATAAAAATAAAAAGTTCATTTCTCTTAACAAAGATAAAGTGAATGCTTTGAACACATTTTTACGCATTTACTTTAAAAACAAATACACTATTTAGTTATTAGTAAATACAATATCTAGGTATTTAGTTTTTAAAATCTAGGCATTTATTTTATTTAAATGTTGTAATAACTAATTATCTAGGTATTTATTTTATTTAAATGTCATAATAACTAAATAGTGTATTTATTTTTAAAGAAAATAATATTATTAACGATAAAATAATAAAAACAATAAAAACCAATAATAAAAATCAGTTTAAAAAAATGAAACAAAAACAGAAATACTACTCTAAAGTTATTTTTTGTTATTAATGAACATTTATTTCTGTTATGATTAAGAACATTTACAGACAAGAACGCAAAAAGCTAAATTATATTATCATTTTAGGCAAGTATTCCTTGCCAATGTGGCTTGGGCTTAAGCTAGTACTGAACCTCCAACCTCTTGATTATGAGCCAGAACTATAAACCACTGCAGCACGGCTGCACATTCTGTTTAGCTACTTATAAAGTTCTTGTTTTTTTATTAAAAACCAAGATCTGGATATCCAATTTTTTGATATGAATCTGGATTCAAATTTATAAAAATAAATGGATCGGATAGCCACTCCACTTTTCCTGGATCAGGTATTCAAGTTTTCTGATTTTCTTATATCGGATATTAAACAGGAAATTAGGATATCTGATTATTTTGATATTTTTGCTCACCCCTAACCATATTTATATCAAGTTTATGTGTAAACAGATTTCTTAAAACACAATAGAATATCAAATACAATTAAAAAATCATATAAGTTTTTGAAACAAACAGAGGAATAACTATTAAAATTAATTTTTTAATCAAATTTAAGAATTATTTTTTTATTTTTATTATTTCAATTATTTGCATTTAAATAAAAATACAAAAAGGTAATTCAGGTAATTGGAAAATTACTCTTATGTAGCACCAAGTTTAAAACAGTAAACAGTATCTCTAAATATTGTTCTGAATTTTGTAGTGGAAGTTGGAAAATTTTCAATGGTAATGAAGTTGCTTTCTTACTGGGATGGTGGGCTTTTAAGAATCACAAAAACAAACATCCAGAGCTTTATCCAAGTAAATTTATTAAATCAAAAAGTTACTAAATCTAAATTTTAACTGAAAACAAATATGAGAACAATAGATTTTTGTATTTTGTTTTGTAGGTGACTCAATATATATGATATACAGTACTGTTTCCTCGCGTGCATTACGAACAATGGGTGAAATTGAAGGATTCCAGTTTGAGGTGTTTAATTATTTTATTTTTAAAATTTTTTAATTTATTGAAATTTTGTTTTTGACAATTCTGCAGGAAAATTGCAAAGTTAAAATATTATGTAAAAATAGTATTATAATATTTCATATAATAATGATATATTATGGTATTGATATAATATGAATGTGGAAAGTTCAATTTTTATTCTTTAAAATTTGAAATTCAATTTTTTGATATTCATTAAGTTTTCATTTTCTGTTTTTTTAAAATGGGTTTTGAATAATTTATGTAGTTAATTTTATTGTCTTATTTACATCAATATTGTTGTCTTAGTTACATCAACATAAAGTGATTTTAGTTTGCAATCTAGTTTAGTCCTATGAGTATCATTCTTCTTTACTTTTAACTTATATGTACTTTAAATTACTTACATCACTATGAGAAGCCCAAAAAATTAATTCCAAGTTTACAATCAAATATTAATTTTTTTTTTTTTAGACAAGTGTATTCTTTAGAACTTTCTGAGAATATATTATAATCTATAAGAATCACGCAATTTTATATAATTATTATTATAATCAGGGATTCAAAGCATTAAATTCAAAAATAATAAATTCTCTTAGAGTTATAACATTTTTGCGCCTTAAAAATTTTGAATACAGGGTCCACAGATCAACAATAAGAAGGAACACGTTATAATTATTATTGTGATGAATAATAATTATTTTGTAATGAATTATAATTATTATCATGATGAATTATAATTATTATTGTAATGAATTATAAATATTTTGTTATGAATTATAATTATTTTTGTGATGAGTTATAATTATTTTTGTGTTGAGTTGTAAATATCATGATGAATTATAATTATTTTTGTGATTAATTATAATTATTATTGTGATGAATTATAATTATCATGATGAATTATAATATGTTACATAGTAATAATATGAATTCACTGTCTAAAAAAATAAGGATTTATTTTCATTTTTTAGGAAACATTGACTGGATTTAAATGGATGGGAAACAAAACCACTGAACTGCATGAAAAAGGCAAAACTGTATTGTTTGCTTTCGAAGAAGCTATTGGTAAATATGTATATATATATATATATATATATATATATATATATATATATATATATATATATATATATATATATATATATATATATATGTATGTATATATGTATGTATATATATATATGTGTATATATATATATATATATATATATATATATATATATATATATATATATATATATATATTTTGAAGCAAAGGTTTTCTAATTTTCACTCTAATCAATGTTTCATTTTAGAAACAAAAAGTTATAAATACTTAAGTACATTTTTACATTATACTAGGTTACATGTTTGGTACCCAGGTCTTAGATAAAGATGGTATTAGTGCTGGAGTTATCATGTCTGAGTTAGCTTGTGTTTTGCACAATGAGGGAATAACTGTTGCTGAACAGCTAGAGAAACTTTATGAAATGTAAGAAAGTCTTTTATTTAAAATAATACTTGCAAACATGATAATAGTATTTTATTTTTTTTTAATACTTTGAGTATAAGATTTATGATGCCTTAATCCATTCAACATTTGGGAGCCATTTATTTGTTTTTATTTTCAAGTTAGTATTTTAGTTTTGCAGTTTCATTTCTAAATTATTTTTTTTTCACAAAAACATTGACAATCAATTTCAAAAATCTCCACCATTCAATGAAATCCTGATATAGAAGAAATTTTTAAAATTATGTGTTATTGAAATTATACAATAAATATTAATTTCTTTTTCTATTTAAAAACTGTGTTGTAATATAAAAAGATTTTTGAGAGATATTTTTTAGCCTGGCCTAACTCTCCAGTTCTTAAATATTTTCATCCTAGGCTAACTTTGTGTAGTTCTACAATATGTTAGATTTCAGGATTTAACATTAAAAACATGAAGTTTTTGATGTTTTAACGTTTTTGTTGTAGCAAACATTAAAATACTTTTTAAGGTATCACTTTATTTTCAAGGTATGGCATACATATAAGCAACAACTCTTATTACATATGTTATGATCAAGCAACAATTAAAAAAATTTTTCACCGCATGAGGCATATGAACAATGGAAAGGTAAATTAATTATTGACTGCAATTCTTTTTTATCAAATAACTTTATAAAATAAATTTAAATAAAATTTTTTTAATGAAAAGAAATCCAATAATTTGATTATATTTTTGAAAGTAACTTTTATGCTATTTATTGTCAATCAAATCAATGTTTTAACTTTAGTTTCCTGTTGCTGTTGGTCCTTTTGATGTTTTAAATGTGCGGGATTTATATGGCATTGGTTTTGATAGCAGTCAACCAGATAACAAGCCAGTTAGTTATTCTTATTTCCTCTATAATAAATAAACTAACTTTAGAAAATAAATTGAAAATTATTTTTTAAAAAAAGATAATTTTTAATGTATTGTGAAACTTTATATTTTTTGCTGGAAAAGTTCTGATTGTTATTTCTGCCTACAAGTATGAGTGCGCATGTTTTTTTTAAAACAAGAATGTAAATATTTGTAACTTATCAATAGTTGATAAACTAACAATCTTATTCAATGTTAACTGAACTGTTTTTTTACTTTCTATTTGATATCGAGGCCATTTTTTATAAGGTTTTTTATTAAAAATAAAAATGGCTAATTGAAAAGCAGAGTGTGCTTTTTTAAATATATTATATTAAAAAGTGTTAATATTTACAAATTATTCAAAAGTATAGTTATTATCTACTAATATTATGATTAACTGAATTGTATTGGAAGATTATATATTAAAATTTTTGTAAACTATTTTTTGTTGTATTTTGACTTTTTACAACAAAATTTTACATAAAATTATCATACAATTAAAATAAATTTATAAACATTTACAGCATCATAAAAAAAAAAAAATTATTTGTCGATGTTTTAGAAAGGGTGCTACAGTTGTTTTTTAAAACTTTCAATTAATTTTTAGTGGTTTAAAGCCTTCGCGTAAAATAAAAACTTTATATAAACAACAATTAAAATTTATTCGTAATGTAACAATTTTTTATTGCATTTAAATTGTTAAAACATCAAAAAAACCGTCGTCAAATTGTGAAAAAAAACATCAGTAAAATATGCAATATTGAATTGAAACTATTTTATTAAAAAAATCTGCGAAGAAATATACTAAATAATAAGGAAAAAAAACTTCACTAGACATTAAATAAACTGAATAACATGACTCAGATTTCGATTGCATAATTTGGTTCCATAAAACCGTAAAATTTATATTTTAAAAATTTGATTGGACAGTGTCCGACCCAAACAAGCATTGTTTGGATCTTTACAAAAAATTAAATTGAGCCCTGTAATTATAACAGTCATTAGGTTCATCAAATTAAATGTCATAGTATTCTTGACTTGCCTGTATTTTTTTAATATTGTTTGGTTACCTCAGATTTACTACAGTTACTACAAAGTATGAAGGGTAATTACCATTAGGTATGAAAGATAGTTACCATTAAGTAAAAAGTATTAAGTATTAATAGGGTTGGGGGATAGCGATAAAGCAAACATTGCCTTCTTTTTGCCCCAGTCATGTATATATTGTTTTATATAACACAACATTGTATATATTATTTTTTCACTGATGAAATAAATAAATAAACAAAAAAGAATCAAGTATTAAATATGAAAGTTCAATGATTGAGTATCACACTGTAATTGAGTAGTTTTTTGTAAATTTTGTACTTTTTTTAAATGTGTACTTTTACTTAAATATATGTTTTTCTTTGTTAGATTTTTAATCATATACATTACTGAGTAAAAAAATGTATTACGCATTAATATTGTTTATTGTTTAATGTTACAAAAAGAATGATTTAATTTTTCTAAATAAAAAATATTTGTGTAACATACAGTATTTAAAAAAATCCTCTGTAATTTATGTTTTAGACTTAATATTTTTTAGTTTTTTTTTTTTTTTTTCTTCATGGTTTTTAAGGTGCTCCCAGAAGTCTTTATGGACTTATCACAGAGCACTGCAGAAGAGCATTTAACTAAGAAGTTCATGCCTCCTTCCTTGCCAATGTTGCTTATTGGGCTGGAGCCGGCGTCAAACTTCGGCTCTCTTGGTTCTGAGCCAGAACTAGAACCACAGCTGCACTAGTTTGAGTTTGGTTTATTTAAAATATAATTTTAATTTTTTTTTTTTTAATTTAAAGTATAATTTTCATAATGTAGAATAAAAAAGTTTATAAATAAGCAATTGGCTGGAAAAAGAAAAAAAACCCGATGCAGGTGCCAATTATACAACAGCTAATTAAATTGGTGCCCATTTATCTGTATGTCACCAAGAAATACCAAAAAAATCAAAAAATTAGATCTGATGAACATATTATGAACCCTATTAGGTAATATTAGGGTGTAAGTGATAATTTCATTTTTTTTTCAGGAATCAAAAAAAAAAATTTACTTCTAATAAAACACTTTCTTAAAAATTAGATGTGTAGTTCTGTTGTTTTTGTTGGTGTGTAATTCTGTAGTTTATGTTGATCTGTAAATCTGAATTTTATGTTGGTGTGGAGTTCTGTAGCTTATGTTGATGTGTAGTTCTGTAGCTTATATTGATGTGTAGTTGTGAAAAAATTATTTCCAAAGCACAATTAAAGAGCAGAAATAATTTAAGTTCTGAAATCAAAATGAATGATTATTTTCTTGAAATTTTTGTCATTATATTTGAGATAAACAAAAGTTTCTTTTTCCTTAGATTCTTCCAACAAGTACCTCTGGTGAAATGATTACATTTACATTTAACCAAGGATGTGTTGCCACTATACGCACTAGTGGAACTGAACCCAAGATAAAATATTATTCTGAAATATTTACTAAACCTGGTGATGGGTAAATTTTTTTTATAATATATTAAATATTTTTAGGGGCCCCAACTGACCCTTGAATATTTGATGGGTTCCTAATGTTATCTTACAAAAAGTTTTTCAAAAGTATGCCAATCTGGTACTCAAAAAAAGCAAAACTTTATAAAAATTTCAAAAATAGTTATTTTTTCCCAATGCTTTTATTATTTCATTGTCTCTGTGTGACTGTTAACATGAAACATTGCAATCAATTTTTTAGTCACTTCCTGATGATAGATTTTCTTCAAATTTTGCATACATACTCTTGCCTGATGACAATACAATATTCAATAATTAGTTTTGCAATAAGTCAATCAATTTAGTTAATTTTAATTAAGTTTATTTTTTATATGGGAAGAAGAATAACAATTTTTGAAATAAGTATATTATTTGTTCTTACTTATATGCGCGTTTAGCTTGTTGGGATAAGGGCTTGACTTTGTAAACGGAATGTCTAAGGTTCGATAGCCGCCTCTTCCTGAATTTTTTTTTTGTTTTTTTACGCACATACAGCCAACTGTTAATAAAATAAAATAGTAATATCAGAAAATTTGAATTCTAAAATCTAAAATTTGTGCTTTAATAACATATAAAAGCATTGGGTTTTAAAAATTCATTTTTAATTTTTGTTGTTATAAGTATAACAACAAATTTTTGTTGTCATATATATATATATATATATATATATATATATATATATATATATATATATATATATATATATATATATATATATATATATATATATATATAAACACATCTAAACTTTTTACAGTATTTGTGTTGATAAGATTCAGTAACTAATAATATAAATAATATAATATTTGGTAACAACTTCAAAAGAGACAACTTCAAAACTGCAACCCCATAATTCACCACCATTATGATGTCAAAAGACAGATTTTCTGCAGCTATCGAATCAAACTCCCTCAAATTCTTACCAAGGACAAAAACTCAATTTCAAATTGGTATGCTGGACTGGATAAGGCAGCTTACCACTCATGTCCTTGAATTTGGGGGAGAGATCAGCTCGCTGAAAGCCCAGGCAACAATAAACAAAGAGACCATTACAGCTCTAAAATAAAAAGAAATTGATCTTGAAAAAGAAATTACCATCCTGAAACAAGCGGAACCAACAAGCAACGGAGTAGCAAACTCAGTCACCCTAGCGGATATCGTAAAAGGGCACAAAAATAACAGACAGAGATAAAGCCATTGTTTTACAAGTCACTTGAGAACTGAACGAAAGAGAAAAAATTGAACATAACGTAGTTATAACCTGAGTCAATTAATGTGACTTAGAAGACCCAGAAGAAAAAAAAAATAAGATAAGGAAAGCATCGAATCGCTGATAGTTGTCCTAAGACTCAACAAAGAAAATGTCAATAGTTTACGCAGAATAAAAAAATGGCACCAAGTAGACTCGTCAAATGGAGCAACAAATACAACCAACATATTTGCAAACACGATAATTGCAACTAAACGGCCTCCACTAACAATAGTAGTACTTGATAACCATAATAGCCAAATTGAACTGTTAAAGAAGCGTAACAAGCTAAGAACAATGGAAGACTCCAACAACATGTGTATTGATAGAGATAAAACAAAGACAGAACAAGACATAGAAAAGAGACTAAGAATTAAAAGGGATGAGCGTAACAGCAAACTAACTCAGGTTGAACAAGAAAACGGAAAAACCTTGAGATACAAAAAAAAAAAGAAATGGAAAGCGCTATTCTGTATGCAATGGTGTACTTGTGTGGGGGCCACACAAAGAAGACCAATCAAATTTATAGCAAAAGAACCAATCAATAAAAATTGTTGCAGCCTCATTGATATGTAAACAAGAAAAACAACTCAATTGAAAGTTAAGTTTGTTACATGACACCACAAACTTGCAATCAATTAATAATTCGATAGCAGCTATAAATAATGATAAACATATAAGATGTGTATACACAAATGCAACATCACTAAATGCAAACAAACTCAACAAACTCACAGCATATGTCTTAGCAAAACTGAACAAATATGAAATAACAGGTTAGCTGCTTGCATGGATTTGCTCATTTTTAATAAATCCACAATAGTTGTTCTAGGCAACACAACATCAGGATGGGCACCAGTGTCTAGTGGTGTTGTCCAAGGATCTGTGCTAGGACCAATTCTATTTGCAATCTTCATTAATGACCTCCCAGACAACATTAGCTCTTGTTGCAAAAGATTTGCGGACAACACCAAATAAATAGCACTAATCTGGCCAGGAAACGAAAGGCTTGATACTAAAAGCCTGCAAAATGACATCAACAAGATAAGTGATTGGTGCTGCTCTGGGCAAATGAGCACTTAATCTTAGTAAATCGAAAATGATGCATATTGGACGAGCAAACCAATAAGCGACATACACTATGCTAGATCCACTATCAGGCGAAAAAAGAGATCTAACAACAATGATGATAAATATAGACCTTGGAGTCACAATAAATCAAGATCTTAGGCCAGAAAAACAAGTCAATAAAGCCGCATCCATCACAAATAAATTTCTTGGAATGTTAAAAAATATGTTTATATCACGAGATCCAGCACTATGAAAAATCTCTATATAAAATGTCAGACCACTTGTCAAATGTCAAAACACTTGAAAAAGTTCAGCGACGAGCCACCAAGATTGGACACGCAATGAGGCAACATAACTATGAAGAAAAGCTAATCAAACTCAACCTAACTAGTCTAACTTTGCGTCAGCAAAGAGCGACCTCATTCAACAATTTAAAATATTAAAAGGAATCAACAAAGTAAAATGGTGTGTACCAACAATCACAAGAGAACCAAGAGCAGGTCATAAAGGACAACTAAGCAAAGAATTAGTCCGTAACAGCACACTGCGAAGCAATTTCTCCACTAACAGAATTGTGAACTGTTGGAACTCGAAGATTGTAGAGCAAGATAACGATTGGCACACGACTTAAAAGATTGCAAATTATATGAATTAGGAAAGAATTACGAGAATGAATTTTAGTAGATGGTACAAGAGGCGCTAGCTCTTTAGAGCAGTGCCCATTATAGTATTTGTAGAAAAGAGAAAAAGAAGTAACATTATGATGATGTGACAAAGTTTGAAGGTTGGCTGCAAGAGCAGGTCCAACTATGTTTACAATGCCTTTTTGAACCTTGTCTAAAAGAGAAAGGGAATCATTAGAAGATCCGCCCCAGATATGGCAACAGTATTCCATACAAGGCCAGATTTGAGATTTATAGAGATAGAGAATAGAATCCAGAATAAGAAAGTGTTGAGCTTGATAAAGAGATGCAACTTTAGCAGATGCTAGTTTTGCAACGGATTTGATATAAGATTTCCAAGAAAGATCAGAAGTAAGAGTTAATCCCAGAAGATGAAGGGTTTATGACTCATCGAGTACATTACCGTTCATAAATATATGAAGGTCTAAATTATTGCAATAACGATTGGCTGAAAAAAGTTGAATTTTATCTGAATTAAAACCACCAGCCACTGTGAGCCCCATGCTGTAGCAGAAGTGAGATCGTTTCCAAGCTCAAATGCCCCCTGCAAGCAATCAGAGGGAGTTAGCTTCTCATCGTGACAAGAATAAATGGTAGTATCATCAGCGAATAATGCACCTTAGATGTGAGAATATCTGGAAGATCGTTAATGTAAATTAAAAAAAGTATAGGGCCAAGGATTGAACCTTGAGGAACCCCTGAGGTTACAGAATAAGAAGAGAGTTGACCATCAAGGACAATTTTTATACTACGATTGGAAAGGAAGGATTCAGTAATCTTAATGATGTTTCCAGATACGCTGTAAGAAGAAAGGTTATGGAAAAGACCAGCATGTAAAACTTTATCAAACGCTTTAGAAATGTCAAGAGCGATGGCCTTAACCTCTCCACCTTTATCTAATGCATGATAAAACTTATTGGTTATTACTGTTAGCAAATCAGTTGTAGAATGAGAAGATTGAAATCCATATTGATGATCAGAAAGTAAGTTATTAGATTTAAGTTGAGAAATTAAGTGTTTGTTAATTGATTATTTAAAAACCTTGCTTATAATAAGAAGAAGACTGATGTGACGATAGATAGACGAATCAGATTGCTCTCCAGAATTTTTTAAAATAGGGATAACAGATGCTGCTTTCTAGCAGGCTGCAAATTAAGACTCTGATAAGCACTTGTTGAATAGTTTTGAAAGGATAGACGACAGCTCCAGAGAACACTTCTGCAAGACTATAACAGGTATGTTGTCTGGACCGCAAGCTGTAGAAGAGTCTAAGCAGGAAATCACTTTAGATACAGAAGCTGGAGTGATAGGGATGTTTAGCAATGGATCAACCTGTTTGACGGATATATCAGGTAGAACATAACTAGTGGAATCAAGAGATGATATTGATGAAAAGTTCTTAGCAAACAATTCAGCTTTGTCTTTAGGCGAGGTGACAAAGTCTGAACCATACAAAAGAGGTGGAATTACAGACTTGCCCTTATTATTGATATTATTAAAGATTCTCCAGAAGTCACAAGAGCCTAATTTTTGAGATGACATACGAGATTTCATGATCTGAGAATAGCGGGTTTTGGCATTAGATAAAACTTTTTTACAATGGTTCCTAGCAGTAATAAACAGACGACTGTTTTCTGGAGAATTGTTTTGCTGATAGATATGGAAGTAATGGTTTCGATTGGCAATTGCAGCAGCACAATGTGAGGAAAACCATGGAGAAGAATGAGTCGAGAGGGAATGAAGGATTCCATGCCAGTCTGAATCTACGAAATTATGTAAGAAGCACATTTGTCAACAGGAAGTTGAAAGATTTCTACCCAGGGGCCATCACGAAGAAAATCACGGAAAGAGTCCCATTCAGCTTTAAAGTAGTTGTAAGATGTGCGCTGACAGGGGAGTCTGATGATAAAGAAGAATGAGATAATAGTTTTAGAGAGATCAAACTGTGATCAGAGGCACCTAAGGGTGAATATGGAGAAACTGAGCACTGACAAGGATCAGAAACAAGACACAATTCGAGTAGAGGAGGTAAATGATTTGGGTTGTCTGGAAAGTGAGTTGGAAAGTTGACTATTTGAGTTAGGGATTGAGAAAGGCAAAAGTTGTGGGCCTTAATGCCTGCAGAGTCACTGATACTAGAGCCTAGCCATTCAGTGTGATGAAATTAAAGTCACCGACAACAACATTGACTGATGGATAAAGAGAGAGGGTTTGGTCAATATGATCAGAAATAACATCAAGAAGAGTGCAGTCTTGAGATGAAGGAGAGCGGTATATTACCAAGAGAAAGGTGATAGAGTGAAGTGGTGCTAAACGAAAGCACATAAAAAAGTAGTCTGTGGATTCAAACCTAGTTTCTCAACAAATGGGTGAATTCTTACAAATGTAAACGCCCAGGCCAAGCATGTGACTATTGGAATCTTTACGAATTAAAAGATAACCATCAACACTAAGATCACAAGATAAGACAACTGAACTCAAATTAGTCTTACAAAGAGCAAGTAGGTCTGGTGAACTTTGCAAGAGATAAGACTCAACAGAAGAAAAGTTACTTTGAAGACCACGAATATTAGTGAATGATAGGTTTAGCGAACTTGGTGATGACTGTGGTTTTTTTGTGTTTTATAGATTTTGTTACTTTATTCATTTTTAAATTTGTTAAAGAACTTGAATCGAAACATAGATAGTACTCAGTACACTGTTTAATAGCTCAAGCAATTGCCTCATTACTATTAATAAACCCAAAGCTGTAACACAGGGCTCCAATGTGGCCTCGGCAATGCACACCAAAAGTACAAACAGGGATACCATCCATGCATAACATGGCACTGTTTGTACTTTGATATTTTACAGCTGTTGATGGAATCAGCCTCTCTGAGAGCTACCTGAGAGTTCAGGAAACCTGACTAACAGCCGGCCTCAGAACCATAAAACTGAGTTATAGAGCTGTACCCTCTTTAGGACATAATAGAATAAGTTGCCTAGTTATAAAAACAGAGACACAAGCAAAACCCATGCATCAAGTCAAGAAGATCCAGCATTCAACATTGTAAACTGGAAACAATGTGTTAAAATACATCTGCGCCAGCCTAATAGATGAAGAAGGGGTGCAAGGCTGGTCAACAGATAGAATCTGTTTACCCCTTAAGTCTTTGCCTTGGAGGCCTTCTACATGACATTAGCCGGATGCATTTAACATCTGGCCAAGATGAGTATTTTTATCAAGACACCTCTCTAGCCTTAACTCAACCAAGAGCCCTAAGGCAGGGGGTGTTTAATGTCGGAGTTGGCATCTCCTAGCCTTTGCCTAAAAAGGCATATCCTACAAGGCAGCAGGATATGAAGCAGATTGTACTGGGTTACATGTTACCAGTAGATCGATAAATCTGACCTGACATTGACTGGTTTTACATTTTGGATTTACTTTTCATTTAGAATTAGGAAAGCAATATATGACAAATCATCTGTGATTATAATTACTACTATTTAAGATTGTAAATTTGTAAAACTGAAAATACATATATATGATGTAAAAACTATTTGTTAATAAATGAAAGATTTTGTGATAAAAATTTTTATTCAAAAAGACAAAAATATCTCATCAGTTTTCAAGTTCTTTTTTGGTCATACTCTTAAATTTTTTCTAGATTTTTTAACTACTAAATAAGACATTTTGAAGGTGATCTTCATCTCTGGTAACTGCAATAAAATATTGAATTAGCTTAATGATCCTTTCTGCGACATAATTAACAACAGGTGTCTCAGTGGTGAGATTATTATTAATCTTCTATATTAAACCATTTCTTGAAAATATCATAGCAATAGTGCATTTGTCTAAAAATTCCTCTGCAACTAAAGAACAGAGCCATTCTTTAGATCCTTTAAAAGTCTTTTTTGCATAACTTTTTCTCTTCATTAACTTTCCCACAGATTTCAGACCATTTCTTTTTAAGCTTGACATAAGATGACATACTTCAACTAAAAGTTTTAATTCCTGTAAAATTTAGTGAGAAATATATAGTGGGATACATTTTACTGTATGGCATTCACAATCCACAACATTAGAACTTTTGAATTAACTGTCCAGTATGTATTTAGATTTTCCTTCAATTTTCTTTTGTTACCTAAAAAATTGATATTTTTTGGGAAAATTACCTTTTTCTAGATCACACGATGGGGGAATGAGTGAGCTAAGCCCCAGAAAAAAAAAGCCAAGTTCAAGTTTTACTGAAAAATACAGAAATGTGCCAGATCAAAGTAGTTAAAAAATTGAAATATTCAAACTTATCAGAATAAGAAAAATAAGCAAGCGCGCAATGATTAGGCTCTGTTGCATAAAGACTGGAAAGATGAGGACTGGTCCAAAGTCATATTTTCAAACGAGTCTACCATCCAAGTATTAGATGATAGAGTTCAAACTGTAAGAAGAAAACCAGGAGGCGAGTTCAGAGAAGATTGCCTTCACCAGTCGGTAAAATTTCTCACAAAGATCATGGTGTGGGTTGCAATATCTACCAAAACAACAAGTCTTCTGCACATTGTACAAGGGACAAAGAATGCAGAAAAGTGTATTGAATTGCTCAGTACACGTTTGAAGCCCCAAATACGTGACTGGTTCAAGGACAACACCTGTATTTTTTAGCAAGATTCAGCGCCATGCCACACTGCACTCAAGGTCTACAATTAAATGACAAAAAATGACATTAGAATACTCCCGTTGCCAGGAAATTCTCCTGACATGAATCCTATAAAGTCACTTAAGGATCAACTTAATGATAAAATCCATGAAGTGCCAATAACCAACAAATCAGTCCTAATAGAACGTCTGATTTATGTGTGGTTTCATGATGATGAGATCAAGAACATGTTTGTCAAGTTGATAAGTTGATTAGAGGTATACCAGATCGAGTGCTGGCACTAGTTAAAGCCAAAGGTGTCCACACAAAATATTAGAAAGATTTCTTCAACACCCATGTTTATGTATATAATATATGATGAAATGTGTGTGCAATAACAAATTTAAATATCATAAATGGTTTTTCAACATATATATATATATATATATATATATATATATATATATATATATATATATATATATATATATATATATATATATATATATATATATATATATATGTATATATATATATATATATATATCTGTGTGTATATGATTTTTAAAGTTTATTATTGCACATAATAATAAACTTGATATAAGTTTGTTTAATTTAGAATGAGTCGTGTAGACGCTCAAGCCAAAATTGATAGTCTTATCAAATATCTCGTAGAAGAACTTCTTCAGCCAGATGAAAATAATTTGATTGCGCGTGCTGATTAGCAAAACTTTGTTTCCTTTTATCTTAAATGGTTTTGGAATTTTATTTAGTGAGATAAGTGTACCCTATAATACCGAATAATTGTCCCTTTCCGAATATTAGGTTTTTCAGGTTTTTTTATTTCCCGCTTCTAATTATCTATTATTTGTTACTTTAGGTAATACTATTGCAACGTGTATATAAATTTTTCTATATTTTTTTGTGTTTTTTTTTTTCTCTTAATCGTTTTGATATCGCATAACACCTTTTTCTAGAATTGTAATCATGGCCTTTTTTTATAAAATCATAGCAATATAAATATGCGATATAAAATATGCGATAAAATATGCGATAGTAATATTAATAAAATAATTTATAATAATTAATAAAATTTTCTTATTTGAGATTCAATCTATTTGTTTAAGATTTTTTTTTTTAATTTTTTTTTTTTGTGTGTGTAATTCGAATCATTTTTTAAAAAGTAAATTTAAACGTTCGCACAGACATCTTTTAATTTTGTAGTTATCAATTTTGTAGTTATTAATTGTAGTATTTTTTTTAACAATTTATGTTTAATAGATTTCAATATTGATTAATCCATCGCTTTACTCTCGCGACATTTAATCGTATTGCAACAATTTATTTTAATAAAATATTGCCTAATTTTATATTGCTTCTATAGACTTATGAGGACCAAAATTGCTTTACCTCTCGATTACTTTGTTTTTTGTCTCTTTTTTCATTACCATAGTTACTTTTTTTATTTATTTTTTTTACAATTTAAAATCTATTGTGGAAACTCAAAACAGGTTAGCGGATTAAAAAAAGTAAACGACAGCAACCAGCGTTTGCTATGGTTCACCAATCTATTTTATTTATCTTTTGATCTTTATATTTGAAAAAAGTTGTAGAAGTGAAACAGTAATTTACCCCATTGATTTTTGATAGAAATGGTAGATCATGGCCTACTATATAACACGGCCGGATTTGTTGCCTTGAACGCAAAAAATTAGTGGGCCGATTTTAGGTTTTTAGCTTTTGAATCAAAACCTGAAGATAATTCTGTAAAGACATTAATAATATTTAAATAATTTGCTCTTAGCTATAATTTTTACTATTACCAAAATTCTTAACCTTCAAACACTAAAACAGTTAGCTAATAATAAATCATGATTGCATTAAGCCGAATGAACTATCTATTTTAGCCATCAATTTTAATCTACAAAATCTTTAAGTCTTAAAATTATTGGTTCAAACAACTAAAATTAACAAAAATGTTAGTAAATCTAGTATAATTTTTAAATGTACACATTTACTGAAGGTATTTATATTACAAAAAGTTTAATCAAGTCAAGTTTCTTTTGTTTCTCAAAAAAAATATATACATATACTATGTTGTTATGGGTTTATTCATTTGTCTTTTTTGGTTTGTCGAACTTTAAAGGCAGCAACTTCATTTTTTCTAATGTTTCCATTTTTTATTTGTTGCTCATTGTTAAAATAAATGTTGGTAATAATTGTGTTTACCAAATTCCTTCCCCATTCCTCATGTTCTATACACATAAAATCACTATCACTTGGTTGATATTTTTCTAGCGCTAGCAAGGATGCATTTTTTATATCATGGGAATACTTTAATAACATTTTCTTTACAGTGTCCAGAATTATAAACCCATTAAAAACATAATTAGCTAATGCTTTGGAAGGTTTTGTTAAACCACAACGTGAAAGAATTTCCAGATATTCTGTTGAGACTTGATTGAAACTTAATGATTTCAGACAGTTAGCACAGTTAAATTTATCCCTAATCTTTTTCGTGATGTAACCAGATATATTGATTGCAACTTCGTAAGAGTCATGACAAAGCTCATTCTCTTGAATTTCATTGCTATATTTTTCCAATTTTATTAAAAGTTCATTTTTGTCAATTTTTGTATCAAGTTTAAGATTGCTCGTCCAACAATTGATATTGGCTTTAATTAAGGATTTCATGCATAATATCTTTTCAGAGCTTTGAACTTCACGTAAACTGACTAAAAATCTTCCACCGCTCATTTGTCGATATTTACTGAAATGTCTTTCTAATGGATCAGTTTGAAACCTGCTAGTTAAAACATATTTATATCCTTCTGAAAATAAATCTTCCATCAGACTTGCAGTACCCTTCAGTGTTGTAATTAATGCATTAGTTGTTTGAGCAGATAAAGTATACTTATTACATCTTTGAAACTGCAAGTTTTTCCATTCATTAATCCATGTTGCAAAAACTCGAAAAAATTGTGACTTTTTGTAACCTGGAATTGCTGCATTCCCAATCCTATTGTTTGTATTAAACATTACCTTTGAATTAGAAATAGTCCACCAAATATTAATAAGCCTTAGAAATCCAGCAGCTGCAGTTTCGTTCGGAAAATAGCTGATGATTGCAGCAGAGGTGGTTTCATCAAAAATATTTAAAGCTAAAGGAACACTTTGTTTGTTGTTTCCTGGATGTAAAGTTTAGGCAGACAATTTGAAAGCTTTTTTTAAGTTAGCAGGTAACAATTCATCTTTCTCATAAACATTATTCAATAAACTCCAAGAAATTTCACAAGCTTCAACATGAATAATATCATCAAACTCAATAAAATCAAATAGTGAAAATACAAACCGTTTTGAATTTAATAAATTATTTCTAATGTTTTTCAGTAAATGAACACTGTCATATAAATTGTAAACCCGGTGACCCATAAAAGTAAAATATATTTCATTATCTTGTTCACCAAACTTTAAACGTAGAATTTTGAATGCTGAAACATTTGTTGCATGATTGTCAGTTATTATAGCTCGTACATAAAAAGATGCTTTATATAAAGTTTCTAACATTTCTTCTATATGTGAACTAATCATAGAACCAGAAATTTGAAACTCTGGACAGGCCTTAATTACAAAGGAGATAGGTTCTTTCAAGCTAACCACCATGAACACAACTATACCAGAATAGAAATTACCATCATCATCAGCACCAATTAACACCTTTTTGTAAATACATCTCATCAATTAAAACAACACAGTCAGCACTAATACTACCATTTTCCAAAAGTAATAATAATCCTGATGGATCAATGCCACCATTTGAAAGTGATTTTAAATAAGACAACGAAGGAAGTGGAAACTCTTCTAATAGCAAAGTATAGGCTTGTTTTGATGTATATCTGTGCATTAGAGAAAATCTAATGATTTCATTTGTGTAGATTGGACGTCCATGTGGTTTATAAAGAGATAATTTATATAAATCTGATAATACACTTTTTGATACGTTCTTTGCAACTTCATGCATATAAGAAACAAAATTAACAAGCATACTGGCACTGGTCAATTTACAAACTTTGCCTTCTCTAAACCATTTAGGTAATGGAACTGGGATACCTTTCATATGTAGCTTTACATGTAAGTCTTTATTAATCGTAATGCTCTCAACGTTAGGAGTAACATCCCCGTCGTCGAAATAAACTCGAAGAAATAACACACGGTTATCAACTCATTTAAATGAAAATCCTGCTGGACAAAAACTTTCATTAAGATTTATAATGCTTTTATTATATCATGTTTTCTAAAATCGTATGTTTCATCGAGCAAAGGATGAGAATATATACGAACTGCAGGGGGCTTGATAGGATGTTTTGGTTGGTAATAATTGTTGGTATAGGATTTTCGCAATAATTCAATGTTATACGTTTACCTCTTTTCAAATATTTATCTTCAAAATGATCGATACATATAACTGAGTTTTCTGTGGGGCTCCAATTAGCTCGGTTGACAAACTTAATCCAACAATTTCGAAGATCTAACTGATTGCAATCAGGAAAACTAAACACAGTTTTGTATGTTACGTGGTTGCTGTTACTGGAACATTCTTCAATCTTTCGCTTATAATTACTTCTACAACCAACAACACAACACTTTTTTGGCATTGCAAAATAAAGTATTACTTGAATTAAAAAAATTTAATTTAAGATTGTTAAATCGGTTTATTGTAAACTTCAAACTCGTGTTTTTTCGGCCCACTAATTTTTTGCGTTCAAGGCAACAAATCCGGCCGTGTTATATAGTAGGCCATGTGGTAGATTCGGTAACGAACGTCAACGATTCATGCGCTCAAATTATCTGTTAAGAATTGCAATAGTTATAAAACGGTCATAAACTGGCTTAGAACACGTCTGTCAATAGAAATTACTAGAGCAAGGTTAGTCTTAACTAAATTTAGGTTTTTTGAATTGTGTCTAAATTAATGTCAACGTTTTCTGAAAGAGTTTAGTTTACTTATCACTATGTCTAATAGGGTACGTCATACTTTTAAAAAATTTTAAATTCAAAAAAAAACAATTTGGGGAGTGATTTTATTGTGTAGTATGTATTTTTAAGCAACATTGAAATAAAACTTTTTTTTTTTCTTTTTTTTTTGGGTAAAAATGAACTCGAAAATTGCAATATTTAAATAAATAACGTTAAAATGAAAAAAAAGTTATAATGAAAATTAATTTTTATTACACATGGTTATTAAAACATTTTACCAGACAAAAAAGTCAAAATATATATATATATATATATATATATATATATATATATATATATATATATATATATATATATATATATATGAGAATATTTTGCAAAAAATGGTACCAAAAACTCTGAAAATAAAAACACCAAAATAATTTTCTCATGTTTTTGAGTTCATTTGGCCTCATGTGTGAGGGTGTTGAACTCTAAAAAAGTATTACTTAAAGTTTAAAATGTGCAAATAAATTTCCTGAAACTGTTATTTGTAAAACATCAAAATTTTCTGTGAGCGCACACGGATTTGTCCAAATATATTATAATTACACAAAATGTTAAATAAAACAACAATATATTTTTATGGAAAATAAAATTTTCTTTAAAATCAAGCTTGAACATCAACTAAATAATTTGATTAAATCTTTCTTGAATTTCAGATTTTGAACAACATCTCTGTGCTCTATTCTTGCTCTAATAAAACCATTACTTCTCTGAAAACCACAAACAGCAGCTGCTGCTTCAGTCACTTGTTTAACAACTCTTTCACAAGACTGGGTGTGGAGAAGATAGTAAGGTTC